ATTATTTTTCATGTCTAGAATATTGCAAAAATAGAGAGTTTTTGGTAAAATAGCCCATATTTAATAAAGTATCAGCATTTAAAGATTGGCAACATCTTGTGATGTCTTTAGATGATCGGCACTATATATAGATGCCAGAATAGTTTCATTTTTTTTCTCAATGTTACACGGTGAACTGTAATGACTTTTTACATTTCTTGTTATTTGTCACACCAAGTCATGATACTTTTTTCTTATATAGTTCTAGACAAATCGAGCCAGTAATTGCTGCATTACAACGCCTGATAATTCTGTTTCTCACCAAGTCCTTAAAACTCTCCCAAGAAATCATTCACTGAAAATAAAATAAAATGCCTCATTCTTAAAATAATTATCACTACTTACGCATCATCTTTTTTTTGCATTTTTTGACCAAGATTAACTACATTTTCTGAGAATTTGCCCAATGATTCATAGTCTTTGAAATAATTATATAACTTATAGCAAGGTCAATTATTCCTTATTAATTTGTTTAACTTGTTTAATTTTTTGTGTTACAAGCCACGTGAGAAAATCACTTTTGTTTTCTTAACGATGTAAACATTGTTAAATTGATTCTAGTATCTTCATTGCCTGAGGAGTAAATATATCAGCTGCAAGTTCCGTCAAACATTAAGTTTGCTGCAACTTCTTTGGTATTTTCTCCTCCTTTTGACACTTGTTGTTTTATAACGTTCCTGAAATTTTTCAGTAGTTGTTTTCGCATCATTAAAATTAACTTGGTTTGAGTTCCAACAAAGTATTGTGATAAATGCAAGTATATATATCTTTAAGACTATTATTATGTTTTTATACACGTGATTTACTATATTGAATTCCGTATGTTGCATTATTAGTATATGTTGGTTGCTGAAGAGACGAAATTAAAAGTTATATGTCAAAACTAAATCAAAAGTCAAAGTCAAACCAAATTTCGACTTATGGCAAAACCTTTTGATTTTCTCACAGTTGCAAAATTTTGGAAACCATCATCAATTCAGTACCTTTCCATATGTTATTTTTCATAGGGCAACCATTACTTTTCTTGCAAGTATAATTAATGGATTACGTGACTACAAATTAGTTGAGCAAAATCTGTTTCAAGTGTAATGGCTTCCTTGCGTTCTGAGCACAAAAGTGGTTTTACATTACTAATCTCTTTGATAAGAGTTTCTAGATCCTTTCACAAAGGATCACCACCTCTGAGCCATCCTTGTTTAATGGATTTAGTATGAGCTGCCTTGTAGATTCTATCCTTTCTTCTCTTACTGTGTGTTTGAAAAAGATAAGCATACTAGATAATGGAACAGATGTTTAAATTCAAAATCTTGCGTGCGTGAAGATTTTTCACACTGATTACTTTTCTAAGAAAAATTCTACCAAATGAACTTGAATGTCTTGATCTATGCTTTGATAATAGTATGCGTCATTATCCAGAATAATATGTCTTACAGAAATAAATCCAAGGACAACAGACTTATGACTCGTGGGAAACATACCATGAATCCTACTCATTCTAACCATCACCTTGTTATTTTATTTTGAGAAGTATTCACAATATCAGAATCAGAATAAGCATAAGCACATTATTGACAAAGGGTATAATAGAATTTTGTTGTCATTTTTAATAATGGGATATGGAATTTTATGAATTCGAGTACATCTAACTATTAAATTTGATACATGAAGATAAAAATAGAGTATTTTGGTAAAATAATACCATAATGAGTAGAAATTAGTTCAATATGATGATATATATTAATCAGCTTTTCCTTTAAAGGTTCCATGCTGGAAAATTATGAAATGATAAAATTGTAATTACATTCAAAACTCAGTCCTAATGTATTTATACAAAATAATATAAATATAAAATTAGGACACAAGATTAAAAAACTTTAATTTTTAAGGTTGTAAATACATATAAATAATCTTAATAGAGTTGTCATGGACCAATACCACCAACATTATTATGAGTATTTCTGGGTTGTTGAGACTCTTGATCACTAGGTATTTCTACAATATTTCTTCTCTTTCGATATTTCACAATTATGAATGTCACTATCACACCTAATGTTATTCCAACTAAAAATGCAATTACTATTATTATTGATATTTGAACAGTGTTTAATGATGTTGTTGATGTTGATTGCGATGTTGGTGTATCTGGTGGTGATGGTGGTGATGGTGGTGGTGTTACTGCAGATGCTGAATAATTTGCCTTCCAAATAAAATCTTTAATATCAAGTATATAAGTGTTTGAAGTAGATGATTTTGGATTTGAAACATCATTTGTAATATTTCCTATATACATATGCAATTTATTAATTAATTATTAATTAGCTTCAAAGTTGAAAAAACAAAAATTTTTTAAAAAGTAAAAAATCTACCAAAACTTATTATCATTTGATCTCCAATTAAATTAGCTGAATGATATGTTACAGGTAGGGCACGATTAACATTTGAAAAATTGGGTGCTGACCATTGAAAAGGATTTGTGGTTGTATCAAGAACAATAATTTCAGGAAATGATGTAACATCTGAAGGTACTCTATTACCACCATAAACAATTATCCTTCCATCCTTTGCTATGCAATATATATAATATATGTAAATTTAGTATATATTTTTTTTAAAGAAATTTCAAAAAAATAAAAAATGATTACAAAGTACAGCTGAATGACCAGCTCGAGGTTTAATAAGTGATGGGCCACTTGCTGCCTAAAATTTTTGCCAAGATGTAAGGAATTGAAAAAAATTTTTTTTTATAATGATCTTGTAACAATTGATTAAATATTTACCATAATTGACCAAATTGAAGTATTTGTGTCAAAAATTTTTATCTATAAAATGAATATATTAATATGCATATTTTATTTATTTTTTTTAAAAAAACTGAATTTATATAAATGAAAATTTCTAAATAAATGCATACTTTAAAAATGTCAACTTCATAAAAATCTGTACCTTCAGCATCACTGCTCTCTCTTCCACCAATAATTACAATTCTACCATCAGGTAATAAAGTTGATGTATGATCACAAGTTGGTAACGGTGGATTAGTTGCAGAGACTAGACTCCAAGTCAGGTCTATTGTATTCAATGTATACATGTCATTAAAAACTTGAACAGTCAGAGATCCAGTAGGTTTACCTGTTGATCCACCAAAAATATACATTTTTCCTTTATCATCTACAACAATACTACTTTCTCTACGATTAGTGGGTGCAGTACCAGTTGTTTTTGGAGTACTCCAAACTTTTGTATTTACATCATATGCATAAAGCAAATTGGTGAAATCACGATCTCCAGTAATTTGATTTCTCATAGCTCCACCAAATAAAAAAATTGTTGATTTATTTGGTCCACCAAGTGCACCTACAGACCAAGCAATACCTATAGGTAATTTGTCATTTTCTATCCATGGTACATTTGTAACATCAAAATCTTTAGTTAAATCCACATAAAAAAATGAATCTGTTGTAGTTATTGTCTTTTCTAAGCTTATACCTCCAAGAGTGTAAAGTTTGTTATCCACCACTACACTAACAGCTGCATAACGTGTTGCACTATAATCAGAAAATGCATTATTGATAATAAATATTATAATAAATATTAATTGAAGTTTGCTATTTTTGAAATTCAAGCCCATTGATTAATTATTTTTATCTTCAATTATGTAATATTACTATTTACTATAATTAATTATTGGAAAAATGTTTATCAAAGGGGATTTCATTGATTTTTATTTTATTTAAATGAATACAAAAAAGCAAATATTTATACAAATATTTATTGATTTATAAACAACTGGGCGCAAGTAAATAATGAGTATAAATTTAGAATTATTAACCTCGGTTGGGTCTGTTTCCAGATCCGAGATCTTTTGACCAAACTTGTGTTTTTCATACTATCCAACATGTAGATTTATATTTGGTGAAGATATTATTAGACCCTGTTTGCTTATCGTACTCTGGGTACTTCTTTAAAATTTTTACATTAAATAAAAAAGGTTCTAGACAAAGAATATCTTCAAATGGATCTTCTACATGTTGTTAACGAATTTTTGTATAAAATTTAAAAATAGGTGATATCTCGGAGGTGGTTTTTGCCCAGTTAATTTGAAAGGCTGATTACTCAAAATCTTTACACATCTCTTGTCCCCTCAGTAATTAATGCTTCTTTATGGGTGCTTTTTTCTTTCATGATTGAATAATTATAATTTTTATTTTATTTTAGTGTACGTATAGTATAACATCTAATATTTATAATGTACTGTATTAATACATAAAAGGCTCTATCTACAGATATGTTGCTTTTTACAACATAGAAATTCGAAATACTTGCCTTACATTATCCTCATAAGTCATATTGACGTTGAGAAATTCATTGGAATTTCCTAAATTATTACCAACGCTAACACAAATATCAGCCAGCACCGACAATAATAATGGTATGGCATAGAACCATTACCATGTTTGTTCTTAACAGATCACATGAACAGTGATAATATTCTATTGTGATTAAATCACATCACAAATATCATGAGTGATACCGACACCATTAAAAATAATAACAACAATGGTAATAATAACAGTAGGTATGGGAAGGTCAAAAGATGAAAGAAGTAGCTAATAATGATAGGCAGATTATTTTGATTAGATGAGGTTTTGACTACCT